TTTTGAATACCTTTAAATGTGTTTTGTCACTCCATAGACTTTCTTTTTATATTTTGTCATGAAAAAGGTAAAATAACTTAGTTTCATCGCATAAATTTAGCAGTGGTCAGCTGTTCTTTCCATCATTACAGAAGAATGAAAGCTCCACATAAGACTGTTTTGTGATGATAAAAAGAAATACTCCTCCCCCCAAATTCAGCCAAAAATCTAAATAGCCTCATCCAGTTTAGCCCTCAAATAAAGTGACTGGGAATTGTGTCTCAACCATAGCCTAGAGACAGGTTCTGCCTCTCTCCCCTTTCACCTCAGAGTGTATCTAACACATTCTCACAGCAGGCTGGGGCTCAAGTAGATTAAAGGAATTATGTGGAATCTCACAACTACCCACTTGAAGCACCAGGAGTCTAAATACATCTTTAATCTTGGCGGGGCAGTGAGACGGATGGATCAAATTGAGAGAGAGAGAGAGAACTTGTCCCTTTCCACCATGGTGCCCCCACAGCAGCTAATACTTTGCCTTGCACCTAAAAAATCCTAAATCAATGTCTGCTCAGATTAATAACATGTTCCCATTTCTCATATTTAGAATGATTCAGGTAATTTACGACAACAGCTGTCCATCTGAAAATCAATGATAGCTAATGCTTATAGAATGCCTATCTGTGCCAACCATTGGGTTAAGTGGTTTGAGGTGCATTTTGCATCCTTTTCAATCCCTATAATAGCCCTGTCAGGCCAAAGGTATTGTTCCCATTTTACAGATTTGGGAGCTGAGCTTTGGTCCGGGAAACCAAAAATCAGCTTTCTGGGCATCTAGCAGGACTGTGCCTGGCCATCCATGAATCAGTCCTGAAGGCCACTTGTCACTTCACGATCAAATAGAAAAAGGCAGAAACCAGTGTTCGTTTTCAGTAGCTCCTTCCAGTTCTTTCTTACTCAAAGGGAGCCGCCTCCATTTCTCATCTCACACTCAGCTTCATGTGTGAAGCCTAACCAACAGTAACTCTCTCCAGAAATAACTCACAGGATCTTTTCTCAGGAAAAAAGGCGGGGGGCGGGGGGGGGGAGACATGGCAATAAAAAAAAGAAAAAAACAAACAAACAAACCCAACTACATATAATTCTGCTCTGACAAGATATAACACAGTAGACATGAGGCCTTGCTCTTTGTACTCTTCCCTTCAATAGACACTTGAGCTCTTGTGTTTGGGTGGAGGTCTCTGGAGCTATCCTTTTCCATGGGGTTTGAGCCTCCTAAGTAGCTACCACTTTGTAAAGAGATATTCCCCTTTGACAAAAACTGTATGGTTAGAAACAGGCTGGTTGGCTTGGCACCTGTGGCTCAAGTGGCTAAGGCACCAGCCACATACATCTAAGGTGGCAGGTTCGAATCCAGCCTAGGCTCACCAAACAATAATGACGGCTGCAGCCAAAAAATAGTCAGACGTTGTGGTGGGCGTCTGTGGTCCCAGCTATTTGGGAGGCTGAGGCAGGAGACTCACTTGAGCCCAGGAGTTGGAGGTTGCTGTGAG